TGGTGCAGAAACTTCTCCTACCAAGGCAGATGAGCAAATGTTTTGCAATATATTATCTTAAGAGAGTTGTTGAGGACACTGAAATGTTAAGTGCCTTGTCCAGAGTCACAAAGCTAGAATGGGGGGTGGGGGCGTGTTATGCTGCCTCATACCTGGAGCATCATAATTAATATTTTGAAAATTCCAACCCCAGAAAAATGTTTCCCTATTTGAGTGGTCATGATTTTTCTAGTTTCTTTCACTAGTATTTACTTTAAGGAAATTTTCATTCAAAATAATGTAAACTCAGCTTTCTAGACCATAATATAAAATGTAAGTTCAATAAAAAATAAGTTGAAACAAATGGTCAACACAAAAGGGTGCAGGACCCAGAGGAGAGGATATCTTAGTGGATAGGAAGGTCTCAGCCAAAAGATCACCTTAAAAATTAGAAAGAACAGAAAAGCACAAATATAATGGAAATATCAACTCTTTAGTCCATAGGAGTACCAGATTTTAAAAAGCTGCTGGGAAAAAAATGTTCCTATCCCAATTAAAGAGGTCAAATTTCTACTAGTTTCACTGCCTGGCCTGGCCCTACAACTAAATGTTTTCACTATCTCTATCCTTCCCTCCTTTCCCAATGGACAACTGCAGTTTCTCTACTAACTTTATTATATTTTTTTAAAGCATATGATTAAATCATGCTTTTGTATCAAATGTATTACTGGTTCAAGGAACTGAAAATTCTGCTATTAACTTAATGGAAAGGTACCACTGACAATCTTAGAAAAAGAGAATGGTTATGCTGGTTTCTTATTCCCCTGAGCACACTAAATACCCAGTCTTGACTCTCTTGGGGTCAATGGTAGTTAAGGATCAGGGTGGTTTTGAAACCTCTCATTCCCTGCTCCTGAGACAACACTGATGGCAGAGCAAAGTATAGTCTTGCCAGATTTAAAGTTGCCTTTGACAATATAGAATTGGCAGCTTTGACCTCGGGGCGTAGATTACTCTGAGATGTTTATGGTCAGCAGTACTTCTAATTGAAGTCTATGACTTACTGGTAACTTGTGAAGATTATAGAGGGCAGGTGTCATAGATACCAAAGCACAAAAACAATCACAAAAGGGACAGGCGAATGCTAAAAAAACAACTTAAAGGAAATTTCAATGAAAGAAATAAACTAGCTGTACAACTGAGCAAGTAAGCTACTTTTTGGGATGTGGATAGAGGCATTCCAGAATGCTGTCTGATGTAGACTTCTATACTGACACATAATTCAGAAGAGAATCCAGGATATAGGATGTATCTCATAATAGGTGATGAGGAGTCTGGGAAAGACAACAGACTATTTATAAGTTATCCAAAATGTCTCCCTACTTAATTATATGACATCAACCACAATAAATGAATAAAAATAAGAAATCCAAAAGAATTCCCAGTATGCCTAACAATTTATATTTTATAATGTATCAAAAATCAATGGAATCATCAAAAATACTTTCCATCTACTATTTTTTTCCATTCACACTTTGTCCTGAATTGTCACTACCAAAACAAAATAAAACACCTATCATTTCAACTCTATCCCGTTGCCTTCTGTTTAACAACAAACTAAGAAACTCACTTCAAAATCTAATTTCCAAGTCGAATGCCCTAACTATTAGAACCACAGCAAGGACTTATTCCATTTTCACTTAACTTAACGTTTCTCATATCTCATTTCCCTGCCCCTCAAACACTTAAAAAGGAAAAGAAAAAAGCCAAAAATAAAAATGTAAAATATAAGAACATGTCTACTGTATGTGAATTCCTGGAGGATGAGGGGTTTAATCTGTCTAAATTCTGAATGCCATAGTGCTTGGTTAATAATCATATATAATGTATTAATCTAAATATAACCCTGTCAGCAGAAAGGACAGTATCTGAAAACAGACAAATGCCATCAGAATTCTGTCAAATACTTTTGATGTCTGAATCAAAAATGAATATGTAAAGTCTGCCTTGATCTACATGCCACTTGAGTAACCTAAGTGCTGGCCCAAGAATTCTAGGTTTTCATAAAGCATTTTTTGTCTATAAATACATCAAATACATTCAACTGGTTGTCCTTCATAAACTACCATGAGATTAGTGAGTGGCAGTCATTATTATTTGCATTTTACAGGTAGTGAGACAGAGGCACAGAGTAAGGTTAAGTGGCTTCTACAAAGTTATGCAATGTCATAATTACAATTCAAATCTCTTGACTAGTTTTGTGCCAGCTCTACCATGTCATTCCACTGTAATCTCTACAGATTAGTGGAGTTGCTTACTAAAATGTCAACAAAAGAAATATAAGCATATGACTTTGTGCATATTTAAAAGTAAAGATGGCCACGTCTTTTTGAGAGAAACTGGTTTCCTTCAGAAGCATCAATTTAAATATGTGACCTCAAAAAAACCTAATATTAAGTAAAAGCTAAAAAAATTGAGGGGTTCCCTACCTTCTACTACTACACATAGTACCAGCTTGTTCTTTAAGACGTTTGGTTTAATGGCAATGGTTTGGAAGTCATGTATTTGCAACTTACTTCCAGTTATGCTTCTGATTCATTTTGTCTCTCTTTTATAAGGAACCAACCTTCCTGTCTTTGTTTTTCTCTCTATAAAATAGGAACAAAAGAATTTAATTCCTACTTTACACAGGTATTTTGAGGAAGAAAATGCTGTTTGTAGAATACTTAAAACTTCCACATGAAATGTGTAGTGATACAGCTAGTTTTCAGGCCTAATAAAACACTTGACCAAAAGCAGCAACTGGCTCTAAATTAAAGACAAATCTGAAAATATTTATCAAACTAGAGAGCAAAAATTTTAAAACAAGCTATACATATTCCTTCAGAAATTAGATACTCTACTTTCTGCTTTTACTGGTGGATGTCTTTTTATAAAAAGTTTAGAATCTAACCATACAACAAAATGTCTACATGAGTAAAGCAAAAGAAGCTCAAAGGTCATACTGCCTCTAATTTAATGAATTCAGAAATATTTACATGTACTTTCTGATTTCCCAAACTTTAGTCTTTTTCAACAAGCAAAGGCATTTATACTTAATGGGAACTATATATATTTGCTAATCCCTAGGAAACAGTGAGAACAGTTTTAAGATTAATTGAAAAAACAAATGTTCAAAATGTACAATGTGCCAAATTAAAGTCAACCATGGATTTTACAAAATGACTTGTGGATCATTAAACAGTAGCTAAAGTGCTTAACATTTCCTCTTCATGAAGAACAATAAATTACTTCATAATAGTTTTGGAATGTATTTTTTGGAGGTGGGGATGGATCAACCTTTACCCAACCATAATTTGTTAGTTTACAATTTCAACAACCTATGTAATGAGCCTCTGTTACTGGCATGCCAAATAAGTAAGCTCCTTAAATATCAGTCATATATTCAACATAGTAGATTCATTACTTCTGCCATTGTTAAGAGACCATTCCAACAAGTCGCGAAAAATAGTTGGGGGAGATGTCAACAATTTGCAACAGAACAAGGAAAAGGGAGTAAGGCAGAAAGCCTATGAAGAAAAAAGTCAAATCAAGAGGCATTTATTAAGCCCTTTCTTAGCCATTGTACTAAGCACTAGGGAAGCAGAAAGAAAAAAAAATACCTGTGAAGGGCATGATGGAGAGGCAGAAAACAAAGAAAAGAAAAACAACTCCATTAAAGAGAACTGATAAACAAGAGTAAGAAAAAGAAGTTAAGGAGGGATCCAGACAGAAAAAGCTAAGGTGTAAAGGACGAGGATGAACTAGGAATGGGGGGGGGAGGACCAGGAGAGACAGCTCCAACCTAGGCAAGTCAGGTACTGAGAGGTACTCGAAGGGCTGTTAAAGGAATACAGACCCTTGAGGTAAGAAGTAAAAAATCCCTGCAGGTAAAGTCATGCTCAAGCAAAAAAAAAAAAAAGACTGACCAAAGACACAGTGAATAGACAGCAAAAAGCCCGGTGGGGGAGTAGGAAGGGGAAGAAATAAGGAGTAAGGGATCTTTGTTGGACAGAGGTAAGTGAAAATGAGAGAACAGAAATAAAAACACACTAAGAGGAAAGGAACAAAGTACAGGAAACCCAAGGAGAAGGGGTAGTGATAACTAACCGAATTTATAAAAGGAGACCAACCCCCCCCCCCAAAAAAAAAGATCGAGAGAGCTACAGAGGTGAAAGGGAGACAGGACGGGGGAGAGGGAGGAGGGGAGGAAAAGGGTATAGGACCGAGAACCGGGGCTGAAGCGGGGGGCGGGCGTAGCAAGGGTACAGCGGCCCCGGGAGGACTACGTGGGTAGCGCCCCGGACCACAGGGCAGTGCCCACGCCGGGCTTGGCCCCTCGGAGCTCGGATGCCCGACCGTCCGCACCGACCTTCACCCAGGTCGCCCGGGCACGGGGCTCGGCCGCGGGGCGGCGGCTCCTGCCCGGTCCCTGGAAGGAGGAAGAAAGGGAAGGCGGGGAGGGGGCGTCAATGGGGGGCGCTTCCTTCCAGACCCGGAGGGGAGACGGGGAGGAGGGGAGCAGACGCGGGCAGCGGCCACGGTTAGGGAGCAATTACCTCTCGCCGGGTCGGCGGTTCCCACCCCCAGTCGTGTGGAGGAGCTCGTTGTCCCAGTCGAAGAATACGGCCCTCCCCTGGGTCAGCACCATCCCGCCCCCGGGGTCCCTCACATCTCCGCTGCCGCCGCCGCTCGCCCCGCCGCTGCGGATCCCGAGGAGGAGCCCGTGGGTCACCGCCGCCCCGCGACTAGCCCCGTAGTACAGCCAGAGAGCATGCGCAGCTACCCCAGCGCCCTAGGGAACCCCCGGGCCAGCCTGGCGCTACCTGCGATCAACAGGTCCCGCCGCCACCGCACCCCCCCCTCCCTACACAGAGCCTCGGCCCCACCCCGCTCCGGCCCAGCGCCCCGCCCCCTTCGCCAGCCTCTTGCTCCGGCTGAGGTTGCGTGAGATTTCGCCCGGGACAGCTCCCGCGCCGAGAGGATTGAGTTCTCGCGAGGTCTGGGCGTTGGCGTCAATAAAGAGCGCGAACGCAGGTCGCTTGACGTGTGTTGAGCGGCTGATGGTTGGTTGGTGCTCTTCGGCTCTGAAGGAGAGGGAAGGAGTCGGGAGAAGAGGCGTGAAAGGTGGACGTTGAGTTTGTGCTGCTCCTGGGGCCTCCCTTCTTCCACCATTCCCCCCGGGGAAGGGGCTTCGTGGGGATTAGCCTTTAGCCCCCGGACAGCTGCTGTTAGTAGTAAATGTAGGAGCAGGCGCGATGAAGTTACTTGGTAGGGGGCTGGGACCCCTCAGGGGTGAAGCGTCTGTTAATGCCCCCCGCCGAACTGGCTTCCGAGTACAGGCCCCTGATCACCCCGCCCCCCTTTTCGGGTATTGACTTATGTCCTTAAGTAACGTCTTTCCGTGTGTTTCTAACTGATAGGAACCAGAAGATTTCGTGCCATGTTAGGTAGTGAAATGAGCAGAAAAATTGAATTATTGGGGGAGGGGGAGAGACATACCCATAAAGTCGGTCCCATAAATATTAGAAGGTTTTGTTTTAATCCTGTTGCTTCATCTAATACTGTTGTCATTTTTTTTTCTGAACTTGAAACCCTATTCATAATGTCCAGAACGGGATTCTCTAATCCTTTTGGATAATGTGATACTGTTGTATCTGAAGAGTGAAGAGGAAGGTCTTACAGGTGTCTAAACGAGATCCTTTCTACTGTAGTCTGAGTATACAGGCTGGGGTCCGGGATGATGGAGAATGCCTGTTAATTGTGTGATAGAGAGGCAAAAGCACCGGCTTTGGTGTCACCGGACTTGTATTCAGATCCTGGCAATGTCGCTTACTTGTATGAACTTAACCTTTCTGGGCCTCAGTTTCCGCATTTGTCAAATGAAGGCGTTGGATTAGGTGACCTCCTTAGGGTCTTTCAGTTTTAAATCTATGCTCCCATGGTATGCACTGCAATCTTACCTGTTTTTGAAGACAGCTTCCCCCCACTTCTTCCAATGAATTATCACTGTCAAAAGGGTCACTTCTTCAAGCGGATTTGTAATGGCTTTAACTTAAAAAATTAGAACATCCCAGTTCTTATATCGCTGTGTATTTTATCTTCTTTATTTTTTAAAAATCCCTTCTATCCCCAGGAGTATTTATTCAGCATCTTTCCATCCTCACCTGAGTGTTTTTCCAAGGTTACCCCTCCCTAGAATTCCCTCTTTGGTCTGATGTCCCCTGTTACTCTGCTATTCACACAATTGATCTCATTTCTTCTGAGAAACCTTTCTTATCAAGAAGGAAAATTGAGCTGCTATACCACTCCTCAGATTTGTTTTTCAGTCAACACATTAGGTCTGGGGTAGGGAGCCTGGCCTCAAGGGGAAGGTTTCCCCACCCCTGCTTTAGGTCCTTCAATTAATATAAATCCTAATTTTTGTATATTCAGTGTGCATTGAAGTGTATTCCTGTAGATAGTATGGCATGTTTAAATCTTGAACCATCTTTTTTTTCTTCGTTAGCTTTCTCCTACCCCTCTCTGCCCACCCCACACGCCTCCCCACATAATCCAGCACTGCTAGCCGCCTTCTAGCACCTAGTGTGCTCTGGGAATATAGACTTATTTTAATATTAGCCTAAGGAAAAGTACTGTCATTTACATAACTTATTAACTCCTACATTCCCAGAAAAGCTTTGCCTAACTAGTGAATAAAATTGTGAATATAATGAGATTATTCTGTTTGATGTTCTCTTTACACTTCCTTCATCTGTTTAGATATATAATAGTTTATCAAGTATCTGCTTTGAGGGGCAACTGAAATGGCTGTGCAAGTGCTGCTGAAGTAGTGAGCTTAATTCTATAAATTGCATACAAAATCAGTGTCAATACTTTATAATCACACTTTAAAATATGTGCCCTAAATATATGCCTATAAAATTATGACTTCCTACTTGGTGGTTCTGCTGTGTCAGCCTGACATGACTGAACATAAATTATCCCCACCCCCACCCCCAGTTCTTGATATTGGTGCATATGACAAAATTCTGAATTGAAAAAAGAAAGCATTCTTCATCCTATTTATATATGCTGTTAGCCTTAAACAGTTGCTTTATGTTGCTGGTTCGTGAATGTCTTTGTGGTTTGTTTTCCTTCCCAAATGAATAAATTAATTTGCTCTTTCTGTTATTATTTTGTTTCAATGGGAGTTCTTGGTTGGGAAAGATGGGATTAAGGATACCACCCAACAGGTCTGTGAATGGAATATATTACTGTCTGCTCACACAGCTACAAACCTCTACTACTTTATCAGTTAACACTTGAACTCAAGAGCTATCAGAGTCAAAGACCATGCTTGTCATACCTTCCTCATACCCTCCTCATACCCCTGTTTCATTATGTTTCACCTTTGATGGATGACCTAGAAATAAAGGCAGCCACACTAGACACTTAGCACTCTTTTTTATGTCCTAGACAAACTCCTTTTGTGTGTATGCAAACAGACCGGCATTTTCCGTTCCTGGTTGGCAGTGCTCCAGCTTGTGTTTCTTCATTGGACTCTAAATGAACTTGAAAAACTTTCAAAATGTTCTGTGGTTGAGGGTTGGAAGGAGAGGAAGAGAAAATTATTCTCCATCACAAGTGATAATACAATGTCCCAATTCTAAAGAGATAAATTGCTGCTCTTTGGAAACCAGAGTATGATAGAAACACTGTTACAGTCTTTGTATTATATCTGCTGCGCTAAAGGCTGCACGTGGTTTAGATTTATCTATCCCTTTGGATTAGGGAATTTTTGATTTGATGAAGAGACTAATAGTATAATGGGTAAAAAAACCCCCCAACAAATGAGGGAGATTCATGGAAGAAAACTGATTAAAAAATAATTATAATTTTATTTTGCAAGCACCAACACTAAAACTTTATCTATGAATATAAACAGACAATAAGAATTTAGCCAGCAGTGATATAAAAATATTATCCTGTGTCCTACTGATAGAAATTTGAATGCAATTTACCCCTCTATAGCTTTTTAAGAATGACAAGAAGAATGACATATTAAAAAACCTGTATAAATGTCTATGAATTTTCATTATTGCTCTAAACCAGACATAAAAATTACTTTATTAAGCAGGATTCATTTATCTTTTTTGGCTAAAGTGAGCTTGACCCTTAAATTGCATAAGGCTTGTTCAATTTGAATTTCATAATTGAATATATTTTTCAACTATCTAGTTTCTTTTGTGATCAATTATAATCCATTTGTTGCATATTAGCATGTGCTTTGTGTACATGGCTGTAAAGTTGTGACATTTCACTTCATTAAATGAGCCCTGACCTTACTCTAAGTTGGACTCACCCACCCCATCTCCACCCAGTTTCTCAAATCCAGTTAATCATTTGGTGGAGGTGAGGCTGGAATGTCAGAGGCTATCTCAGTGGAGAACAATCTGTAGCAGATCTTGCCAGTCCAGGAAGACTTGTTCAATTGTGAGACAACAGGGTATGTCTTGTCATTCAAAGATCAGCTTGGTAAAATTCTGAGAGGTACATCATAAAGTTGACCATAAAGTATTGAATTTTTTGGCCACAGCAACCCAGAAGGTTAGTTATTTACAGTGTAGAGCACATGCTAACTATGCTAGCAAAAGGAGTACCCATACTAATTAAATCGACACATCTTTTGGAGTATTGAAGTAAGAAGCAAAAAATTCTTAATCTTACTTTGGTTTAAGAATCAACATATATTTTCATAGTCCATGCAATGCACTGTGCTAGATGCTGTGAGGTATAGAATAGTATGTGTCACATAGTAAGGCTTTAATAAATGCTTGTAGATTGAATGAAACTTGGACCCTGGATTTAAAGATCTTGCAGTCAACTAAGATGGATGTAGTTAACATGAAACACACTAAGCCCATGCTTTCAAGGCACCGTGTTGGCCACAGCAATGCAAATGCCAGTATTCGTCTTCAAAGAATTTATGGCCTCCTAGGGGTCATAAATATGCACAAATATTGACATAAATAGAATAGGAACATAGTTGAGGTGAAAAGCGCTAAAAGTCATCTAAGGAAGAAGTTTCTTTTAGTTGAGGGGAGCAGATGAAGCTTCATGGAGGAAGACATTGGAGATGGACCTCAGAAGGATAGATAAAATTTCAATAGGCAAGATCAAAAGTGAAGGAGTGTCAGGGCAGTACTTTCTAGGAATGAAGGACATGCTTAGAAATAGGAATGTTTAGGATAAGTTCTGGAGATGCTGCCATGGAATACAGAAGGAATGTGTAATAAATGATGGAGAGATAAGATTAGAAAGGGTGGTTGTAGCCAGACTGAAGGATTTTCAGTACTAGATAGAGTCAGGGGACCTAAATTCAAGTCCTAAGTCTGCTACATATATGTATGATCTTAGGCAAGTCACATGGACCTGTTTCCTCATTTATAAAATGAAAGGGATGTACTAGAGGGCTCTGTTTCTATTTCAATTCTTTGTCTATGATCCTCTACTTTCTCATTCAAGCTACACAAAAACCCTGGGATGTAAGTACTATAGGGTATCACTCCCATTTACAAAGAGGAACCTAAAAGTCAAGCAGTTTAAAAGTGACTTACCTAAGGTCACAAAGCTGGTAAATATCTGGGGAGGGGAATTGGGGAGAAACTTGAACCCATTTCTTCCTGACTCCAAATCTATCATAGTCCTTCCTGCTATAAATCTATAATCTTAAGACTCTATTTCATAGGTCAAAGGGAGGATAATGCATGTACACAACTAATTCCCAGCTGAATGTGCCACAAAATTATCTGAAAGTTCAGAGGAGAGAGAGATTTCATTGTATGAGAACTTTTTGATTGAACAAGTTTCATTAGAATATAAGAATTGGCCTCATAATAACGAATCACAAATGGATAGTCTGTTTCTCTTATAAAAATCAGGGAAGATTTCATGGAGGAAGTAGTATTTGATCCTGATCTTGAAAATAGTTGTAGATGTGTATCATATGGTGTTTATTTTAGTTAACATCAAAGGCATACAGATTGAACTATCTAAAATGTTTCTTTATATTGACATTTTGCCTGTGATTACATGTTCTCTTTAATCTTCAAGTAGAAGGCTAATTCCCTTATGACTTAGTGATCTTTTGGTAGATTCAAAAAAAAAGGCAAACAATACCATAGACATGATAAAATAGAAAACACAACTTTGGAAGCAAGAATTCAATTTCCACCTCCACGAGTACTTGAGAAAAAGAAACTTGATTCCTCCCTTCCCCTTCACTAAATCTAAATATATCCAATACTTTTTTTAAAGAACATTGTTATTTATTTTTGTCTCAATTACATGTAAAAACAATTTTAGCATTTGTTTTTTATAATTGTTGAGTTCTAAATTTCCTCACTTCCTCTCTCCCCTCCCCTGAGGCAGATACTTTGATATTGATTATACATGTTCAGTCATGCAAAACACGTATCCATATTAGCCACATTGCAAAAGAAAACAGACCAAAAAAATTCCCAAGAAAAATAAAGTTTAAAAAGCATGCTTCAATCTGCATTCAGATTTGATCAGTTCTTTTTCTGGAAATGGATAGCATTTTTCATTGTAAGTCCTTTAGAACTGTCTTGTATCATTGTATTGCTGAGAATAGCTAAGTTATTCACAGTTCATCATCATACAAACATTGTATGAAATATTGCTGATATGAAACATTGCTGTTACTGTGTACAATAATCTCTTGGTTCTGCTCACTTTACTTTGCATCAGTTCATATAAGTTTTTGCAATATCCAATACTTCTTAACTCACAGAATGTTTTATAAGTTGGGGCAGACATTATGACTGGAGGGAATTTCATGTCATTTGCATTTGATTGGAGGAGGAGGGAAAGTAAGTCTACATATGTGACCTTGAACATCTCCCTTGGCAGCAGCAATGGGGCTGTTCCTGTACTTGGAGCCCATCTTCAACTGGCAGGAGAATAATGAAACCCACACAGTGAAGAAATACTTTTTTTTTTTGGAAAAGGAGGTGTTGAATGGTTTACCGGTAGGTAAAGATAGACTCGTGGGCTTGATAGCTGCCTTCCCAGAGTGCCATCCTGACCTGCAACTTCACCTTAAGACTCCTGAGTCGAGTCATCTGATTTGCCCTGTTCCCTAAGGACTTTTCTATTGGTCTTATAGCTGAACCCTCCTAGATGTGTTGTCTCCTCAGTTAGAATGTCGGTGTGACAGCAGGACTTCAGTGTCTCAGTCTTCCATTTGTATCTCCTTCACCATGGAGCATGGGGCAACAGTAAGCATTTGATAATTATATTTTCATTCATTTAATTATAAATAACATTGAATGATATGAAGGGCCTTGAGAGTTAGATTCCAGAATACAAATTTCAACTATCTTAGTTTTGTTACAGATAGCACTGGAATACATATTTAATGGATGTAATTTAAATACATCATAATATAAGGGAAAGGCACCCTCATTTATCAGTATACTTTCTATAAGTTAATAACATTGTAAGCTAAACAGTTCCTTTAGTAATTCATTTAGCTATTCATTAGCTATACATTTAACCTTTTAACCAAGAATAAATAATAAATGAAAACCACATGAATAATAACAGAGTTCGGCATCTTTCCCATTCTCCTATTTAGATAACAATGATAATTTTGGCCCAAGAATACTTTTAAATCTATATTGTGCCTTTAATTCCAGTGTTGTTTTGCTGCAGATTAGATTATCTCACCCCACCACCTACCCATACGCCCTACTTCAAAGTTACATAATATTAATACAGTTACTGATCAGATCACTAAATGAAATGGCAATTCAAGTTTGGGCAGCTGTTAAGCTGAATATTGTAAATCTGAAAATTGTCCGCTGGGAACTTGTTTCATAGATATAAATTACTAGATATTAATTAAGTAAATAAGCATTCCTTTTCTTTTGAGATATTTATGACTTTGAAATATTCATGTGCTTTTCATACTTATTGATTTCCAGAAATTTAAAAGAAAATGTAAGATATATTGAAATGGTTTTAATAACATTTTCCATTTGCCCAGTTCTTCGATTCTTTTGCTATTTTGTGCAGGGAAAAACTCAAGAATTACTCAGTACTTCTAAAGGATTGAAAAAACCAAACTATCTAACCTGCGTCTTCTACCTCCAACCTCTCACCTACCC